CAGCAATCGATGCAAGGTTTAATTATAGCTGGTTTTTCTCCCTGGCGGCAGCTCCCTGACCTCTGTTTCCTTTTTCCCCTCCTCGCTCACAATTTTGACCTTCGGTGTTAATTAAACAGCCCCTTTCTCTAGCACAGAGGGAATTAACCCTGCGTGCCCACCCCAGGGCTCCAGCGCCCAGGCAAGGATGAAACCTCAGGGTGATCCAGCCAACAAATTGCTGGTCTGTAGGATTTTGATCCAATTAGACAGAGGATCAAATTAGCTGGTGATTGGATTACGCAGGCAGCATGGGGTCAAACGGGGCAGGGCGAGAGCGCCCCTTTCTCTAGCACAGAGGGAATTAACCCTGCGTGCCCACCCCAGGGCTCCAGCGCCCAGGCAAGGATGAAACCTCAGGGTGATCCAGCCAACAAATTGCTGGTCTGTAGGATTTTGATCCAATTAGACAGAGGATCAAATTAGCTGGTGATTGGATTACGCAGGCAGCATGGGGTCAAACGGGGCAGGGCGAGAGCCTGGCACTTACCGGCATGGTTTGGCTGCCGTGCAGGCTGGTGATGGCAGCCTGCGCCTCGGGGCGGGCGGCTTTTTTACAACCTAAAGGCAGACAGGGGACACGGGAGAGGTTGGATTCAGCTGCTGCAGGAACCAGCACTGCCCGGTCGGCAGCTCTCACCCTCCATGGGTCCCAGCAGCCCACAGGGTGCTCACTTGGCTCCCCAAAGCCCACCTTTGCTAGCTCCATCGGGTCCTCGGAGGATAGTGCACTCCTCGATCTGGCCAAAGGGCTCAAAGAGGCGCCGGACATCATCCTCGCTCTGCTGCTTCCCCAGCATGCCCACAAAGAGCTTCCTGTCTTCTAAAAACAAAACCAAGCCCGTCAGAGAGCCGGATGCCACTCACCGTCCCATCCCCTCACCCCTGGTTTGCAAACAGCACATGGAGGGGAAAGAGCCAGAGCCTGGGGAGGGAGTGATGCTGATCTGGCAGTGAAGATGCAAGGTTTATCACCATCCTACAAAACGCTCAGGGTGGGAAAACCTCTCCTGCAGGGAAATTGCTGAGGGGTGAAGCTGAGAAGAGCCAGCTCCCGCTTCAGGGACAGAAGCTGGGACTTTTCCCAGCTCCCCCGGCACCGATGCGGGATGCAGCTGGGAAACAAAGAGAGCCCGCAAAACAGCAGCGATTGCCTTCGTATGATTGACTCACAGAATAACCCGCAGCCTCCGGCCGTGCCCAGGGGACATAAATAACCCAAACACAAGAGAAGGAAGAGTAAATAATGAGAATTTCATGATTATTACCAGCATCTGTCTTGTGTGGCCGTGCGCTCCCGCCACGCGCTAATGGCATTTGACAAAGAAAATAAGGTGCCCTGTCAAGAGCGTTGCCGGGGAAATAAATAAATAATGGCAGGAGACGATTAATGCTCTGTCCGTTAAGGTACCAGGAAAATTAGTTAAGGGAATAGGGCTCATGTGTTGTCTAGTTAAACATAAACTATCTCCCGGCAAAGGTGGCCAGGGGGAGCGGGCTCGGCAGCCAAGCATTGCCTCCTGGGCGAGGGGGCCAGAGCCAGGCGTCCGAGCTCGCCCATCGATTTTTAATCCTTCACCAATTACGCTCAGTAAGTGAGTAATTTATTTGCCGGGTCCCTCTGGGACGTGCCGGGACCAGCTTGCAGCATGTTTAATAACGTGTTTTGAATAGCGGGATGTCTACCCCAGCTGCCCCGCCGAGAGCAGGCGGCCCCACGCGAGCATCCCGCGTGTCCGAGCATGCCTACGTGCTCAGCACTTGCTCGTGGCACCAGGAACATTGGGGGGTTTTGATCCAATTCCTGCAATTTTGCCCAAATTATCGACTCAGCCCAGAAATGCTGCAGCCCCGTGAGCTGCAAATGTCCACGGAGAATTTGTGGGGGTTTCTGTTCGAGAGGGGCTTGGGCCATGTGCACCTCCTCTCTGCTGGGATCCCCACAGGCAGCTCCGGGCAGGTAATTAGGCTGTTTGATAGCTGAAGGGGCTGTTGGAGAGTGGCTGGGTGGTGGTCTGCCCAGCATGATGTCAGGATGCTCATGGTATGACGTCAGGATGTTCTTGGCATAACGTCAGGATGTTCCCCCCAGCCGACTGGGCACCGAAAGCCAAGTCATATTTGCTCTGCGCTCGGGTTTGGATGCCACCAACAAAGGCAGCTCCTTTTGTGGGTTTCTCTGCAAAGAAACCTCCCCACGGCAGCCCCCACTATGCCACCGTGTCCCCCATCACATCCCAGGTGGCCCTGTGCCCCAGTGCCAGGCAGTCGGGGAAGGGGGGACCTACCTCCTCGGCCCTCGCTGTCGGCCGGCTTCACCTGGATGGGGCGGTTCATCTGCAACACACAAGCAGAAATGGGCGGTCAGTGGTGGTGCTGTGTCCCC